CACTTCTGCTTCACCTGTCTGCACAGTCAGAAACACAATATGAATTACAGACCTTTTTGATGATGACCTCTCGTGGTCCGATTAAGAACTGCATGTTGGTTGACAATCTGGGTTCTGAAGGGTCACTGGACCCAAAATGTTAACTCTGATTTCTCTCCACAGATGCTGCCAGACCTGCTGAGATTTTCCAGCAATTTCTGTTTTTGTTTCAGATTTCCAGCATCCGCAGTTCTTTCAGTTTTTACAATCTGTTCATGTTTTCCTGAATAGTGTCTGCCTGGGTTTGCATATGCAAAACCGCTTTTTGCCTGTTTCACATGCAGGTTGTGGATGTCTCTTATCAAATTTATCTTTATAGTTTACCAAACCGATGAGTGGCATTCTTCCAATATGTAATGAGCACCTGTGCCTTGCCCTATGCACCATAAGAGATCCTTACATATTCAACTTGCATGTGAAAAACTGACACAGCATTATTGACTTTGAGTCCTTACCTTTTGATGGTGTACAAACCTAACTTCTATGCCATCAGGATCACATTGCCTATTTACACGTGAAGCATCTGGTCTCTGACTACGTGCAAATTAGTTTCAACAGAGGCCAGCCTGTTTAAAGGTCAATGCAGCTGCACCATGGACATGACAGGTCAAACTTTAACATGACTTACTTACATCAGAAACTGCCTTCTGCTCAGCAATCCCACCGCCAAGATGAAAACAGACAACAGAACTCACCAGCAAAAACATGCTTTCAGAAATTCTATTCATTAGCAATCTCGACTACAGATAATATTTGTGTGAATTCAAATTAATTCTAAAAGCATGCTTAAGGAAAAGTACTGACCGTATTTGTTTCACGCAAGAAGGTTAATAGCATGATTCAAGATTTCATTCAATTAAGTGTAATGCTGGTGATTTATATTTTGTCATGAATTGGTAGGGAACTAAGGTAACTGCACAGTGATTATAAGATTATCCTCCTGACAATGGGAGTCATACCCAAACAGACAGCAAGGAAGTCTTCTCTCTGACAGGTGATTCACCACAAAAACAGGATTGGTAAATCTCAACTCAGCTTTCATTGAACACAGTTTTTCTTAAAAATCATCAACCTGTTCAGATATGCTGTGACACACTTCTACATCAGGTGGGATTTGAGCCCAGACCTTCATGCTCAGAGGTAAGGACACTACCACTGCTTCACTTGGGCCCTCAATGTCAAACACCACAAAACCACAACAAAGGATTGACTATAATTCAGAATTAAGTTGGCAGCTCTTCAGTATCATTATGTAGCCAATGCTGAAATTGTTAAACATAATACTAGAGCTCCACTGAAGTTACGATTAAAAGACATAGATACAGCAGTCAAATCACCTGGCCAGTCTGATTTGATTTATTATTGTCACATGTACCTAAGTACAATTTTGTTTTGCACGCAGTACAGGCAGATCAAACCATACAAAGTGCATAAGGATAATAGAACAAAACAAGGAATACAATGTTACAGCTGTGGAGAAGGTGCACAAAGAGCAAGGTCAGCATTAAATGCGAAATTTGAGAGGTCCATTCTGAAGTCTAATAACAGCTGGGAAGAAGCTGTTCTTGAATCTGTTGGTCTGTGTGTTTAAGCTTTTCTATGAGATTTGAATCCTGTCCAGACACTTGCAATTAATGCTCAACTTCTTTCTATTTGTGATGTGTTCCTAATCAAGCCATTCGGACTGGTTAGGACACATCTCCGGTGTGAGGAGATTAAACCCAGATTTTCTGGGTCAGGTTAGATGTTTGATTTAGATCAACCTGCTTAGGTGTATTATGACAACACACTCCTGAAGCAAGTGGGACTTGAACCCACAGTTTATGGCCTAGAGGTAGGGACACTACCACTGCACCACAAGCACCCTCTGAAATGCAGGATTGGACAGGGTCCACAGGACTTTCAGTCTAATGCTCTCCCAACTCCTCTAGTTCAACCAACCACCTGGTTTATTTCTATAAAATGAAGTTAAATTGAATCCTAGATCTCAATTCAGCTCCCAGGCACCTCTATGCAGTATTGATGAATTTGTTTGCAATTGAGTACCAATTTAAATCAGTAACACTATAATGTTATTAACTACTAATCAATATCCATGTGATTGGACCAGCTAACACAAAGAAAATTGTTACACTGGTACAACTTTCTGCCTTGCAATTGTGCAGTTAGACATTTAGACTTCCGAGCAAACTACACTTTTTTGCAATTACTGCAGATCCATAGATGCATACTGCACAAGAGGAAGCCATTCACGTCAATGAGCCTGCGCTAACATTTTTGTGGTGAAAACCAAATTTACTCCACTTCTCTGGCCTTTGACAGTAATGCAACAGCTGTAATCATCCCCTTTCAAGAGGTAGATTTGCCCTCCACATGGTTTTGAGCACTCAGCTAGCTGTCTAAATGCCAGTAAGAAATTGGAAAACAAATGTTTTGAACTAGCTCATCCTTTCCAGGTCACTACAATGTTGGATAACCGGCTAGCTGGCCTCTGGATTTGGGGGTTTGGCTTTAGGGGGAGGAAGGTACTGGGAGCAGTCCAAGTTGACTTTATGAAGATCCCCTGTTCCTCTTGACCTCACAATATAAATAAAATCTCAGCACTTCTTCCATGGAACCTCTAGCTGAAATTGACTACAACACCACATTCTATTCTTCTGTCATATCAATACAGATCTCTTCACAATTTCAATCCCACTGCTGTCTTTGCCACTTTCAAACTCCATTACTTTAAGTCTCCTGAATTCCATCCTTCCCTAACAGCAACTCCTTACCTAACAGCATCTCGTTCCCAATGTCAACATCATCTCGATGCACACAATCCAGCTTTCAGATCACTACTGCCCTCAGCAACTTGCTGAATCTTCCAAAGTCACAATCCATCTTCCTATTTTGAAAGTTTTCCCCATTCCCACTCCCCATCCTTGTTATGGCCTTGCTGTTTAATACCTCTGCAATCCCATTTAGCATTTCCCATATTTACCTTCAAGAGCACAGGCTGCAAATGTCTGAAAATTATGTTTCTTAAACCCCTACCCTTTGTACTGCTGTCCTGTCTTCAAAAACCTCCCTAAAGTCAATCTCTTTAATTATGCGTTTGGCAACATCCCTAACCCTTCTCCTGTGTCTCCTTGGTGTCCACTTATTTCAACTGCTGTGCAATGCATTGAAGCTGCTACCTAACTGCAGCTTTCATTCATCCAGCATTGATCCCAATTTGCAGTTCCTACTACCTCTCACTGAAATCAAGGCTAGGTATAAACCTCTAGCATTCCTATTAAATTTTAAATGGAAACTTGGGTCTTACCTAGTCTGATTCATTCAACCTGGTTTGCTCAAAGAGAAAATAATTTTATTCTTTTTCAGAGGAACTCCAATCTTAATAGGTTTAATCAACCAAGTTGCACTATATGTCTGCTCTTTCCAGCCATTGTAATACCTCATGTTGAATACAGATTGCCTATGCATAATAATCATGTTAAATTTTCCATAATTTTTTGTAAGCAGCATTAGTTGGATTGTTAACTCCTCAGGACTAATTAAGAATTATTCTTGGAGATTTGTTTCCCCTTTCTTATCAGGACTACAGTCCACTGTGCAGGATCAGCTGATGGATTTTGAGCCGACCATGCCAAGTCCCTGATGGGAACTGGTCGAATAGGGCTCTCTCAATGTATTCTAGGCTGGCTGTGTGGATCATTGTAGAGTGAAGAATAATAAACTTGAATTAATCAAACTGAGAACACATGTCCAAAAATGCAAAATTAGTTAAATTCAATTGCAGTATTTCTCAAAAGTATATTTTCAAATTACTTGTTACAACAACAATACACGGGATATGACTGATGCATTCAACAATTGTGTTAAAATTTTAATTTTTTTTAGAATTTTAGGGACACTTACAAACAACTGTACCCTGCAGCATTTAATGCCACAAAATATGTTGAAACACAAATACTATAGCTATATAGTTCACCTAACCCAAGAGGTAAAAAACATTAGTGTTGACAAAGATCTCCAATTTATTGCTGTTTTCACAATACTGGGCTACATGTTGACTTGTCAAGTAGAGCCAAATCCCCTTCATATGCAACATTAAAACAAAATCAATACTAAAGACTGTGGTTTGCCTGTGATATCAATGGACATCCATTCCTTTTCTTTATTTTCACAGTACATGTGTGACAGGTGTATACCCTGCAGCTTTCTGGAATTATTTGAGCAGAACAGCTTTTCAAACTGCACTGTTATTTCAAATACTTATTTCTACAAGTCTGTTTGAAAGTTTATCCGTCCTGAAATTAGTGGGACTGGAATTCATAAAATTAAACACGCCATACATATTTGAATAAACATGTCCCCCAGTTTTAAAATATCCCTTGCTTTTTCTGAAGTTTAGGGTGAACAAGCCAGAAATCCTAATGCCCTACAATCATCAAACGCGGAAATGTCAACAGTCTAGGGTAAAAAAAAATCAATGTTAGATTTGCTTAAAAATATTCTCTGGTTAACCATTCAAGATCAAGTTTATTGAAATCTCCAGTGATCAGTCTGAGATGAAAAAAGTAACGCTACATACTTTCCATTTTGAATAACCGAAACCAGTTGCTTTGTGTCAAGATAGTTTTCTAATCCAGACTGATTAAATAAAGAGCCAATGGGACATGAGAAAAGGATGGTTAATGGCAGATGGCTTCATCAATCAGGTTAGCATTAGTGAAGTTTCACTTTAACACTTTGCACTCCAACCTCCCTTAACTAGAATTTCTATTGCTGCTTGAAATGCCACAGTGGTCTTTAAAGGGTTAAAAGTTAATTTTGGAATTAACTGAAATGCTGCAAACATAAGATGGTTGTACATTTATTTTTTAAGCTTACAAAAAAAGAAGGAAAAAGGTTTACAGCAATAGCATGCTATCACAAATATAAAAATTAGTTAAATTGTGAAGTAATGGACTTACTGGAGTCATCGGATTCATAGCCTTCAGCCTCGGTGTCCTCCTCATGTTTGGTAGGTGCAGCAGATGCAGCTCCATATGCCCCAAATAATTTGTCCACATCGTCCTCCTCTGTAGCCTCTGACTGGGTGACAGAGGGCTGGCTGACAGTGGAATGCACAGAGTTGCGGCTCACAGCTGCTGGAAGACCACGAGGAAAACGGGGGAAGTAATCAGAGATTTGTTTAATAGGTTTAATAGGACCTGGGCAGACATCAATAGCCATATGCTCTTGAATACTTATGGCCATTTTTTCTCCTTTTCGGACTGTCATGCATGCAACCCTTTTTGACACAGCAGACAGCAAAATGAAGAAATAAAAGCCACCCTGAATCTTGAATTGGGCAATGAACACTGAGAGTAAAGAGCCTATCTCATACACAGCAGAACTCAATCTCCAGCATTAGGCTGGGATGCTTATGTGCTTTGAGTTGTAGAAAACCTGTGCATGCTGCCTCACTGCCACAGACACTCCTTATCTTTCCAGTACTGCTGTTCAGCCTATTAATGTGTATGTGTGTGTGTGTGTGTGTCTCTCCCTCTCTCTCTTTCTCTGTGAGAGATTGATTTGGAGAGGTGGAGACTATGATGTCAGTGGTTAGCAACCAAGCAGTAAACAGGAAGCACTGGAATGAAGACAAAATCAGGTGTGAGGGTGAAGAGAGAAAAAGATAAGTCTGTCTGGAGGTGGAATGGGACTTCAATAAATCACCGAAATACTGAAAGTCATCACCTAAACAAAATATAATTCCATTTACTGCCACCTTGGACTGTGTTGAATGACCTGACTACAGATTATCGGTTCAATTAGACTGAGGCACTTCAAACATTGCTGTAAATCAGGATTAAAGTCACAGCAGCTCCTATCAGATGTTGTGAAGTAACATAAGGAGAGAAGGAAGGATGGCAGTTGTGATGCAGAGAGGACAGCAGAACAACCTGAACGTCATGCTAAAAGCAGCATATTGTAAATAAGACAAATATGTTTTGAAATAATGAACATGAGGAAGACAAACAGAATGCAGTAGCATGTGGGGCAAAGCTTTAACTATTTCAGTTCTTATTCTTCAAAGAAGCTTCAAATTGCAGGCTTCGTCGTGCAGAAAAAGAAATTAATTTGTGCAAATTTTAATGTTAGTTCTAAAAGCATAATTGGAAAAAATTCATACTTTAATGTATGATCATCAACATATTGCATCATGTTAATTTCGTGCAGATTAATTTATTGTAAATTGCATTACATTTTTAATCCTTCAATATATTGCCACACACATAAATGGTGTGGTGCGTTCTGGCCATCAATTAGAGCATTTACCACCATGAAGTTAATACAATATAAATTTAAAGAACCCAAACAACTATAAGCTTTGTTTATGAAATATGTAAATGTTTTACAAAAGAAAAATTCTAGTCATTATGTTCAACTGCCAATAAACAGCTTGCCTTCACTTCGTAATTTATAAAGCCATAGCAATTCCTCAATTAATTATTTCCCTTGTAATCACTCACAAGTAGTCACTACTTCATGGATAATATCCACAGCAGTGTTACAACTGAGCACAACATGCTATTATTTTTCAGTATCCCATTCCTCCATTAAATCTGTCACTTAATCATCTTAGCAAACATTCTAGTTCACACAATACAAATATATCTTAGCAAGCATAATGGTAATGGTTACAGGCAGCAGGAGCAAAACTGATGAAAGAAAGTCTTGAAATAAAGCAGAAAATTTGACTGAATATAGGAGAAATTCAAATGTATAAGAAACAGAGTATAGTCAAAACTTTAACATATATCCAAACAGTCAAACAACATTTTCAAATGGCTTGAAACTCATTGCTGTAAGAATATCTTGCAATATATTCACAGCCATCTACTAACTCTTGCTATTTTGGAAAACTGTACAGATCTGGTCATAGAACAGATTTAAGGCACAGAAGGTGCAAAAATGAGTTACAAGAATAATACCAGAAATGTAAGCTTATACCCATCAGGAAAGGATAACAGGTTGGAAAGAAGGTAAAGAGGAATACAAACATGGACTGGATGAGCTGAATGGCCTGTTTTTGTATCATAAATTCTCTGTAAGTTCACATTAGTTCAAAGTTGCACCATAATTATCAAATAAAGTATTACCATTTTTCTAAATGTTGTCTTATTATCATGCAATGAATACATATCTACAAGTTATAAATACACATACTTTTAATATCCATGATTGCAATAACTAATCCTAAAATACGTATGATCAGAAAATCATGTTTATATATTTGATGAAGGGTTGTCAAGCTGGGGTAACGTCTGCTTGGGTTTAGTTCACTGTTGTATTTGTAATAAGGTTGATAGACGGAGGATAGACTGTTCATCCCCCTGGTTTAAAGTGGATAATGGTGAGTGTTGTATTAAGTCTGACAGCAGCAGGCATGCAATACACCTTTAAAGATTCAGGATATCATCACCATGAGACTTGGGTGACTGAAAAGGTCTCAGTCTCCATTTTACTGGGACCACTTGCAGCGTGACACACAGAGGGAAGTGTGCAACACTATGTTACTAGATTGCTCAGGGCTAGCCCAGATATAGCAAAGCCTGATATTGTAATACATTCAGATACCAGAAGTTTTAATTGGTATCTATTAAATCTTTCAGTACAAGATTGCTCATCAAGGGCATATGTTACAGGAGTGAACTTAAATATGAGCTCACCGGACAAGAAAACTCTGCAGAAGGCAAAAGGCCCCTTCCTGTAACTATGGCAGATCAAGAAGGCTGAACAGATCAGGGTTAACTGTGGTGTTTGTTTATAAAGAAATGTCACCTGGATCACGGATATCACAACATGGTAACAGTACAGTGCTAAGCACTGTAACCGTGGTTGAAAGACACCAAGATTTAACTAACAGACCATTGAAACCCTACTGAAGATCAGCTAGAGAGTAAGCCAAAACTTTAAAGCATATAGAAAACTAACAGGCTTATGCAAGTACAAATTTGTAAATTAAAAGCCTAAAGCCCTATACCACTGTTATAATAAAACTGAAGTTTCAGCCTGCTTTCCATTTAGCAGTCAAAAATGCTTCTTTCAGATTTAAAAGTAAAAATGGCAACCAAACATTACTTATTTAAACACAGGGCACGTCATTTAGGAATGAACAGTGATTTAAGTGCTGAAGTAGTTTTCTGAACTGAAGAAGCTTACCTTCATTCAGAGGTCGGTTGGTTCTGCCTTTTTGTATCTGCAGTTTGGCACCAAAGCCTGTATGACATTGTCACTCCTTATTTAGTGTAAACTCTCTCAGGCCTTTATTTATTAAAGCCAAGTCCCAAAGTCATCAACACTCACCAAAAAGACTTTGAGGCTACAAAATAATATAATAAAGAAGCAAAAGAAGGAAAAATAGGACAGGACAATAGACCAAGAAAATAAAAGGAACAAATAAGCCCTGCATTTTACCTCAATAAAAAAAATTCAACTAGAAATGGAAGGCAAACATTTAATTATGGATTGGGCAGGAAGTGACATTTTCCCTGAATTACAGCTATTTAAGCAGCATATGCAGCTAGACTTTGCAGATCAAGCAGTAAACAATCTCCAGAAGAGATCTCTTGAAAATATTGCTTACTATCAGTAAGGAGATACTTTGCAGAATAAATACATCTGATCTTTCTAAAGACAGTAAAAATGATCCAGAGAATATCTAGAGAATACTTGAAAACTCATCATTTAGCCAAAGACACTAAGCATCAATCAATGATTTTGTCACCAGATGCCACAGCAAAGGGCATGAGTATAATTTCTCCAAGAAAAACTCAGAGGTAAATTGAATTGGTAATCACCTCTACACCAATTAAAACCTTCAGGAAAAGTCTTCAGTGTAAGAAAAAAAGGCTATACCATTGATGCCTTTGTTGAAGACAAAGACGAGCATGAAGCTATACCAGTAGGCCAACACCAATCACATGTTTTAAGTGCAGACTTCACTATTGTTATGATCTGCAACTAGAAAAATCTGTCCAAGATTCAGTTTGTGCACCCACAAGGCAATCAGAAGCTTTCACAACCATTACATTGTGTCTCCAAAAGATAGGGGGACACAGCCTCAAAGCCAAAATCTACACAAGAACTAGTGCCAACATATGCATCCAAAAAGACATGAACCCTGACCATTGACACCAATACAGCATACTAGACCCATCTCGCAGCATATAATGAATCACCAATTCTGTGAAATGGCACATTTATACTTCAGTGCCAATATAGTAAGTTCAGCTTGACTTCCTAAATATTTTAACATTAATATTCTAATATTAATGATCCCAGAGTGGCAGAACAATCAGTATGCATAGATTTCAGTATTATAATAATTCATGAGCTCAAAATCACACTTATTTTGGTGGAACAGACCAGATGTAATGCAACTAATCAGTGAGTGTTCTCAAATAGCTGTACCCAGATGGGTTTTACATAAACAGCTATTTTAAAGGTCATGTGATATTACATTTCAATGATGATGCAATCTCCTTCATTGATCTTCCAAGAAAGTGCATTCTGAAAAAGTGATTACCATTCCCAGCACAACCTATACTCGGAAGGCAAATGCAAAAGATCTTGCTTAACAACTAATTGTCCAATGATTCCGAGTCAAGGATATTCACCTTCAAAGGTAGAAGAAGATGAAAGAGTTGCACGACCAGCAAGTAGAGAACTAACACAACTATATCCTGTATGTGGTGGGTTTAGCTCAGTTGGTTGGATGGTTGGTTTGCGAAGCAGTGTGATGCCAATAGCATGGGTTCAATCCCTGCACTGGCTGAGGTTACCATGAAGGACTCTCCTTCTCAACCCCTTCCCTTGCCTGACGTGTGGTGGCCCTCAGGTTAAATCACCACCCAGTCATTTCTCTCTATTAAGAGAGCAGCCCTATGGTCTAATAAGAATACCGTGACTTGACTTCAGTGACCGGACACAAAATATGAGCCAGAAATCTAGTAACAAATACTTGAATACAAGAAAAGATTTCTAAAGTATGCACCAGTTCAGATCTTAGGAAGTTATTATTGATCAGGATACTACGGTGTGAAGAAACCGAAGCCAGCTCAGACCAATGTGCGATATGTCAATCACGCACACAGATTGAGGAAATAAACTCCACTGATGATGAACATGCAATGATGCTGAATGACAGCAACCAGCAGCAAGACAATCAAGTTATCAACCTAAGAGCAACCATGAATAACACATACTCTCCAGACAACTACATAATCACCAGATCAGGACAAATTGTTAAAACTCCAAAATGTTATATTAAGGTATGAATTCCTAACCTTGTTAAGGCTTTTCTCAATCTATAAAGCAGAACTCATCTAGGGCGCTATCGCAATTCAGGCTGGTTGCGAACTATGGTGATCTACACTACTGTCTTCTCCACCATCTCATCCACCAGT